ACGGATTTTATTTATTAAAACAATTTATCTTGGTTTATTATGTTGACTCTGGGTGGCTCACTACAAAACCCAATAACCCCTCTGGTGACAATCATCAAGCCAACCACTTGATGGGCTTCATATCCCTCTGGTGTCCCGAGCACAAATGCTCACAAATACAAGGTGTACCATCACACAAATGCTAGGTGCACCAGAGAGAATTCCTACGTTCATGTACCATGCTACTTTATGCCCAGACAAAGCCCTGGTGTGGCTTAACCTGATGTCTTGGTACAAGACAAACAAGATAAACTGAGCAATTCAGCAAGAAGAATTACAAACTTTGCAATGGCTCTTTGGGAGAATCCGTGAAGTTTCTCAAATGAGAGCCAATGCAAAAGAGCCCTTGGCACTATAATAGTTCAGAAGATGGAGTCAATTAGCTGTTGCATGGTAGAGGTCATGCATGTTCAATTGGCGCATCTGGAATTTGGCGAGCACGTTTGCAAAATGGCTATCATGGTGGACCATATAGCAAAAGACCTCTAAACTCTGGACTGCAGTCAACCTCCATCTTAGTTTCTGTAATGGGGACTCTGAGTTGGCAGTTCAAGTGATGCTTGAGGACTTCAGGTGGCTTCACTGATTTGTTCCTTTAAAGTAAAAAAATCTTAATTAAAATAGGTAAGATCAGGAAATTGGATCATTATCAAGGAAAGTGTTCAGGGGTGCATTCTCCTCCCCTCCAGATGACACCGCTGCAACGGTACGCAAAAGAACAGGGCTTTGATTCTGCTGCTATGACTAACATCCTGAGTTTTTTCTCCTATTCCTGCCAATGCTACTGAATGCCACATTGGGGATGGTCTTCTACGCCAGAACGTGTTGTCTTTCAGATAATATCTTCCTTATCTCATGGTGCTTAACTGGGATCAGTTCCTGGTCTTAGGGGTGGGAACTGTCACCATTAGATAGGTGACATCTTTTCACTGGTGATTGACAGGAATTGAAGCCGCAAGAGCTTTTCATGCAAAGTAGATATATTTCATATAACTGCTAGTTTCCTTCCAAGAGCCAGTTTGGTCTAATCCAGGGGTCTTCAAACTTGGCCCTTTTATGACTTGTGGACTTCAACTCCCAGAATTCCTTAGCCATGCAGGCTGGCTGAGGAATTCTGGGAGTTGGAAGTCCACAAGTCATAAAAGGGCCAAGTTTGAAGACCCCTGGTCAGTGGTTAAGGCACCAGGCTAGAAAACAGGAGATTGTGAATTCAAGTCCTGCCTTAGCTATGAAAGCTAGCTGGGTGACTTTGGGCCAGTCATTCTCTTTCAGCCCAACCCACCACACAGGGTTGTTGTAGGGAAAATAGGAAGAGGAAGGTGTGTTTGGATATAATCACCACCTTGAGTTATTTGTAAAAATAATTAAGGCAGAATACAAACAAACAAGCAATTCTGGATATCCATCCAGTAGATTTTTTTTCTTACGATCTCCCTGAATCATTTTTTGCTAGATATCACCAGTTTGCTGGATTTCAGCTAGTTTAGCTATGCTGGGTTGGGATTAGGAGATTAGAGGTTGGATTCCAGCACTGCCAGTTGGAGATGTCTCTCTTGGTATCCAGGAGACAGGATCTGGAGCTTTGCAAAATAAACAGAATCTCTCATACCATCTGTCCCATTTTTGTTCCTGCAGAGCCAACTGTCCTATGAAGTGCCCAACCTGGAGTTCCCAGTCATGTAACGGGAGTCTGACTGGTGTCTTTTTTTTTTTTTTTTTTTTTTTTTTTTTTTTGAAGTCAAGGAGAAACAGTTAAGTATTCTAGTTGGGCTGGGCAGTGTTTGGTTGCTGTAAACAGGATGTGCCTTAAGGGGGGAAACACGTAAGCCCCAACAAGTCCCAATAAGTACTTAAGAAAAATTTAATGGGGAAGCGGTTTGTGTGTGTGTGTGTGTGTGTGTGTGTGGGCAGCAGCAATTTGTACACCCACAGCACAAAAGAGGTCAGGAGCCGATGACCCAGTGATTCATTTCCCCAATTTAACAAAGTGATGTCAATCTGTGTGACCCACTTAGGAGTCTGCTGCATAAATATCTTTTCAAACATTCCCAAAACACTTCAGAAGAGTGTTAATCAGGGGTACAGCTTTTGTAACAAAGGGCCCTCATCTGAGGCCCTTGGAAAGCACAGCCAGAAGCTACAGAGCCCCTTAAAACGTTATTAATTGGGACCTTTTAGTATGATGAAGGTGGGAGGTCCTGCTGAAAGCTGTCATGTTGACTGCAGTTAACATTTAATGCCTTTTAAATGAAGTAAGTTTTAAAGTTCACCTTGTTCCCAAACTTAGCAACCTCAAGAAGTCAAATGCCTATTGCGGTCTTTATTGCCCCCCCCCCACCATCCCCAAACTCCCCTTTGCTTCTTCCTTTTTATTTTTTTTAATCCAAAGGCATATATTCCCCGTGAATGTTGGGCTTACAACTTCGAATTCCACGTCCCAGACCATTGCTGAGACTTTTGGAAACTGAAGTCCCTACGGACTTACAACCATTTGTTTAGTGACCATTTGAAGTTACAACGGCACTGAAAAAGTGACTTATGACCATTGTTTACACTTACGACCGTTCCAGCACCCCCATGGTCACATGATCAGAATTCAGATGCTTGGCAACTGGTGTGTTGTTAAATCAAGGAGTACCTGAATATCTCAAGGGAACTCAGACTGGGAAGGTTGATTTATAACTTCATTCTCCTTCAAGCCAAGAAGGTGGCATCTATTTTTACAAAATAATGTAAGCTGATTGGAGCTGCTTCAATAGGAATTGCAAGGTGGTATATCCGTGTCTTGTGTGTGTATTACATCGGCAGGAGAATAATGCCCTGTTGTGCCTAATGCCCATCCTTTACACATTCTTAAAAACATGTATTTTATGTGGATTAGTTTTTATCTTGGCCTGCCCTCTACAGATTTCAACAATTCAGTGACAACCGTTCTTTAGTTTAAAAATACTTGAAGGGGGGAAATGAATCTTAATAATATGCTTCTTTCAGATCAAAGCCCATCACTGCATCTGCAATGCTATGTAATTGTGGGCTACAGCTTGGAATTCACACACTCATGCTTCCTATCCCTGTAGGAAGCTCTGAGGAACATTCCTATTTTGGGAAGTTGAAAAAAAACATTCTGAAAGGCAGTGCTGACCACTTGCATACTGTTGCCATGAAAACTGTACAATGGTATCTATTTCTGTCTGCTCAGTATACATCCCACTGAATTTAGAATATGGCAAAATACCTATAGAACTGCAGCCTTAATCTGTAGAAACTCTGGGGGGATGCGAATGTTAGTGGCTGTGTGTCTTTCTCCTACTACTGGTGCTGGCCGCGCAAAAGATTTTTCATCTCTTTGTAATCTCAAGTTAGCCCCCAAAGTGCATTATACTTCAACAATTTTTGAATCAAGATACCTAAAATCTGCGAAGAATGTGTAAAATATCCAGGACCCATTACAGGTAATCCTTGACTTACAACCACTGGTTTACTAACTACAATGGCACTAAGAAAAGTGACTTATGACCATTTTTCCACGCTTACGTCTGTTGCAACATCCCCATGGTCACATGATCAAAATTTGGTGATGATTTTGGTGACACCAAAAAACGATGTGTCCCTCACATGCAGCCTCCTGTTGTGTTTCCTTTGTTTTCTAGAAATGACATGGAAGGACTTTGTCACTTCCATTTTCTCTGTTGATATATTTCACTTCCCAGTCTACATTTTGGAGGCTTTGTGGTGGCCTCATTAGGCCTGGTTGACATTTTGAGGTCAGCCAATGTAAATGCCGCACAGCATTATTGCAATCATAACTGCACTAATGAGTTGAACTTTCAACTTTTAAGAGACTGAGCATCCAAAGAGTTCAGATCAGTGTTGACTAGGGGAATTCTGGGAATTGAAATTCACACCTCTTAATGTTGCAAAGGTTGAGCTCTATTAGTTCAAACTGCTCAAAAAGCATGCTGGACTTTTTCTGGATGAGTCTAATGGGAGGTGACTGGGAAGGCCTTCTCCTTTCCAGGCAATTAAATATCTTGTGCTTTTGGATTCAAAAGGGGGTTGGGGCACTTTCTTGCTACTCTTGGAATAATAGCTTACTTTGGAAGGATGGAAGATCAAGCCAAAATGGATTTCTGTCCTCTCTTCCATTATTTTTCTATCACCCGTTATCTGATGCTTTTTTTTTTTTGCATAATCCCTACAACCATGAATGTTCAAAATATCTGCTACTGTTTCAGTTGGAGTGTTTTCCCAAACTTGCTAATTTGCTAGCATGCTGGCTGGGGGATTATGGGCAGCAAAAGATGGGCAAATTTGGGATGGATAGATGATAGGGATAGATGATAGATAGACAGACAGACAGATGATAGATATAGAGCAGTGTTTCTCAACCTTGACAATTTTAAGGCATGTGGACTTCAACTCCCAGAATTCCACAGCCAGCATTGCTGGCTGTGGAATTCTGGGAGTTGAAGTCCACATGCCATAAAATTGTCAAGGTTGAGAAACACTGATATAGAGAGACACTTACTTCCATGCTGGCTGGGGGATTTGGGAAGTTCAAGTCTACACATCTTAAGATGGGCCAACTTGGGATGGATAGATAGGGATAGACAGATGATTTAGACCAGTGGTGGCGAACCTATGGCACGGGTGCCAGAGGTGGCACTCAGAGCCCTCTCTGTGGGCACTCACGCCATTGCCCCAGTCCTAGGCTTTCAGTTGGGTTTTATAAAACCTTTTCACTTTAGGCCTTCGCTGCCGTGTGCAAAAAAAAAAAGGTTCAATCAATCAATTTCAACTTCTCGGGAAAAAAAAAGATCTTGCAAAGTTGGAATTAATTGATTGAACTTTTTAGTCCCACCCAGTCTACCGTTACCACTGCAGCCGTGCCCACCCAATGGGCCCCCGACGATGCATAAGTAGGTTTTGGGTTGCAGTTTGGGCACTCGGTCTCTAAAAGATTTGCCATCACTGATTTAGACAGGCAGTCAGACACTTCCTTCCTTGTGCTTTACCCAAATCGTGCAAAACCAGAAAAACCTACCCCTGCCCACAGATGTGATGCATCACCCTCCCCAGACTCATAGTTGCTGGCTGCCAAGATTGTCAACTTTTGTGCTGCTGATCAAAGCAGGCAGGGAGACATGAGCCTTTGGACTCTCTATGCCTAGCGGGCAGCAGACTGGACCTCCACCCTGGGATGGGGGTGGGGCATTTCCAGGAAAAAGGGAGCTGCTCTACTGCCAGCCACCTTTGGTAGGCCCTCAAGATTAATTTTGCTCACAGATTCAAGAAGGCAGAAAGGTAAAATACATAGCGAAGAGAAAGCAAATATGTTTTGACATCTTTCGTCTTTCCTAATGGTCTTTATTCTGTTGAATTCCAAGCTGATTTTCCTTCATTTTCTTATTTTCTTTACAAAAAATAAATATATCCTTCCCACCTCCCCCCCAACAATTCTTAAATACATCATATAGTAGTGCATGGTTGAGCAGCATGGTGGCCTAGTGGTGAAGATGCTTGCCTCCCACTCGGAAGGTTGAGAGTTCAATCCCAGGTAGTGACGGATGTTTCTCAGGGAAGAAAGAGAAAATATCTGCTGCAAACTCCACATAGGCGTCAGGAAGGGCATCTGGCCAGTAAACGCTCAGCTCCATCCAGGTGCCCCAGCTCTTCCCTGAATTAAGGGATTACAGGGGTCGTAAAAAGAAGAAAAAATAGTAGTGTACAGTTGAGCAAGTAGTCCAGAGTGTTCCTCCATCATGAGACGAGCATTGGCAGGAAATGGGTGGAGAGATGTTGCCAGCGGGTCTTCGTCCCTCGTCGTGGCAGTCCTTTGCTGTTGAGGGAGAGGAACATGGGTCGCCCTTCGTGGTACCAGTGGAAAGAGGCGTAGGTATTGTAGCCATTCTCTTCAATACGTTCCTTGAATTTGCAGTTGGGGCTGTATGCTTTCTATGACAGAGCAGTGGGGATGAGAGAAAAAAAACAAAAGAAGAAATTTCACTGAGTGGGCTTGCAAAGGAAAGGCAGAGCTGAAAATATGGCTTCTTATTAGATTTCTCTTGCCTTTGGGCTCAAGGTAGCTTCTGTGGGGATCACCTCCGTTTTATCTCTCTCACAGTTACTCTGAAGTAGGGCTACCTGAAAGAAAGTGATTTCCTTAGCCTTTGTCCCACTTTGTCTATATCTGCCTGTCTGTCTATATCAGCGATAGGCAACCTTGGCTCTTTTATGACTCGTGGACTTCAACTCCAGAATTCCTGAGCCAGCATGTGGTCCCTTCATGACTTGTGGACTAACTCCCAGAATTCCTGAGCCAGCATGGCTCAGCTTGGAAACCTCTCTCTTTCCCCTCAGCATGGCTGGCTCAGGAATTCTGGGAGTTGAAGTCCACGAGTCATAAAAGAGCCAAGGTTGCCTACCCTTGGTCTAGATCTGTCTGTCTGTCTGTCTGTCTGTCTGTCTAGCTATCTAGCTATCTTTTAGCAAGCAATCAGTGTCATGTATCTAAATCTCTAGAGCTTTCGTTATTCTAGCATGTTGGCTGGGGAATTCTTGGAACTGAAGTTCATACAAGGTTGAGAAACTCTCGACCTGAGTTCAGCCAGTTGCTTTTTTTTTCTTAAGAAGAGACTCAACCCAAGTCTTCCCATTCCTAGTGCAGAACTTTCACTATCCCTGGCTCTTGGGCTGAGGGGATCACTACTTGTGACCTTTCCAGTTGGCTTTAAACAAACAGAGATAATGGGGCAAGCTGGATTCAGTTAACAATGATCCACTTAACAAATGCAGCGATTCAGCTAACAGGGAGGGAGACATGAGCCTTTGGACTCTCTATGCCTAGCGGGCAGCAGACTGGACCTCCACCCTGGGATGGGGGTGGGGCATTTCCAGGAAAAAGGGAGCTGCTCTACTGCCAGCCAGCTTTGGTAGGCCCTCAAGATTAATTTTGCTCACAGATTCAAGAAGGCAGAAAGGTAGTAAAATCAGGCACGACTCACTTAAAAACCACCTTGCTTCGCAATGGAAATTCTGGTCCATGGTTCTAAGTCAAGGATGGTCTATAATTCCCCTTTTTCCCCCAGAAGGCAGGCAATTCCATTTACCGTTCCATAGACTTTTCCTTTTCGGTTCATTGCCAAGTAGAATCCACTGTGGATGGATCGAATGGCCACGGTTCCCACCTGTACAGAACGGATCTCCACAATGCCTGGGGTGGAAACAGCAAAGAGGGCAGGGCCTATTAACACAAATCAAGGATCTCCCAAAGCTATTAGCAGCAAAGCCTGTGGCTAAAACAACCAGCAGCTGCTTCTAATAAGCAAATCTCTATGTTTGCTTGCACATGTCCTAGTGCAGGGGTAGGCAACCTTGGCTCAGGAATTCTGGGAGTTGAAGTCCACGAGTCATAAAAGAGCCAAGGTTGCCTATCCTTGGTATATTGTGAAAACTCAGCCGTGGACTGACAAGTTCTATACTTTTTTTTAATTATTACATTTCTCAAGATACAAAATACAAAAGAAAATGAAAATGCGGAGGAAAAAAAGGAAAGGAAAAAATATAATGGTAAAGAGGGAAAATGAAAGAGAAACATTGACTTCCGGACTCTTTAGCATGGCGGAATAAGATAACTGCAATCTCAACTTTTTACCTTTACGTGCTAATATATACTAGCCATTTCTATAACAACAAACCTATCTAATCAGCAAAACCCCAAGTCAAACTTTCATTTTTTTTTCCATCTCAAGGACAAAACCCAGAGGCAGTTTCCAAGAAGAAACAAAGTTGGAAAAAGTTCCATGCTTCTGTGCCAGTTTAGCCTAGTCTTTCATGCCTGTCAACCATAGAGTTAGTTTAAACATGACTTCCTTCTGCTTCTGTAGAACCAGCAATTTCGGTATTTGTGTCCCTTTCAAACCTCCCGTCTTGAATAACTTGGAATGGCTTCAAACGTCAGAGGCTTTGTCGAAGTGGCTTTCAAATATCCAGGTCTTCCAGGAATGCCCAAAACACTCCTGCAAGGGCCTGGATTAAGTCCTGCCAGCAAGTAGACATTTTGCCCAATGACTCACATAAAGCTTGAGCAGGTTCACAGTACATGTTTTCGCCAACTTCTGAACACAACTGAGCCCAAAATTTCTGTGGCTAAGGGAGACATTTGCTAAGTGAGTTTTGCCCCATTTTACAACCTTTCTTGTTGTTAAGTAACTCACGGCAGTTGTTATTAGTTAAATTGCAGTTGTTAAGTGAATCTAGCTTCCCCATTGATTTTGCTTGTCAGAAGGTCTCACAAGGTTATCACATGATTCCAGGACACTGCAATCGTCATAAATATGAGTCAATTGTCAAGGGTCTGAATTTTGGGGTTGCTGCATCGGTCACAAGTATGAAAAACAGTCATAAGTCACTTTTTCAGTTCTGTTGTAACTTTGGACTGTCACTAAACAAACTGTTGTAAGTCGAGGACTACCTGTAGACACAGAAGTGTACAACCTGGAGTGCCTGCCACTTCCCTCCTTGTCGTCCTCCTAGTCACTCTTCAAGGCCAAGCTTATAATTTGACTTTTATTAGCTTCATCACCTTAAAAAAACAATATTCAAATCTCATCTTTGATATTTCTCCTCAGGAACCTCAGGGGGAATGTTTCCTAAAATTTTCTTAATTTAAATTTAATTTAAATAGTTTTCCCTAAAACCTCAGGAGGACTCTTCCTAAAAAGAGTTGCTTTGCAGAGCGAGATGGGAGGCATAGAAATTTCGTAAATAAATTCCTAACTTAGCTTAACTGAATTAAATAAATTTCTGTAACTGATAGATTTCACTAATAATTTCACTTCTTTTTTTCCCTGGGGCCTTCCTCCAGAGGAGTGAGTAAAGCAAGAACAAAAAATAAATTTCAATTAAAATTAGATGATAGTAATACTACTATCACTGAAAAAAAAACCTGTTAAGAAACCAATGAAGGACTATCTGCTCTATACCTTACAAGATCTCTGCTGCTGCTTTTAAGCAGAGTTTTAGCAAAAAAAAACAAACAAAAAAAAACCCGAAGGGGAATGATCTTAAGCTGAGGAAACAATTTTGAAAAGAAGTTTCAAATAGACAGACATCGGGGAAAAAAAATCATTCAATCCATTTGGGTCTGAACAGACACCATGATTTTTTTCCTGCCTGGGGAATTAATGTCCAAGAATTGCATTAAACTTAAAACTTGAGAATCAGAGTTGAAATGAAGGGGCTCACATTGTTTTAAAATTTTCATTGCCATCTCACACTTATCTATTTTTAATTTAAGAGAGTTGTTTGGCTGCCCAGCTTTAAACAACTGTGGGTAGTTTACAGCAATAAAGTTATTTAAAAAAAAAAACCTTAAAAACTCAGCACCTTAATCCATCTCCTAGCATGCCCTCAACAACTCTGTGCAGGCTCATTTCCCCCCCTCCAGCGGAAAAGACATGCTTCCTAGGTCCCACTAGATGGCGATGTTTCAGGGAAGTGTGCCCGTCTCATCCGATCTAGCGATCTAGCGTGATGGGAAGATACCCTCAGGGAGAGGCAGTCCTGGCCCTATGCAATGTAGGGGTTTAAAAGTGATAACCAGCACCTTTGAATTGCACTTAGAAAGCAACTCGGAGACAGTACAGCTCACACCATAGGAGAGTAAAAATGGGTGAACATAGAGGTCCACACACTACTGCACTCTGGATCAGTTGTAACTTCCGGGTGGTCTTCAAGGGCTGTCCCATGTAGAGCATATGGCAATAATCCAGATGGGGAAAAAACAACGCATGAGTGACCAGGAGGACTCAAGACCTCTCAGTCTTCCATTGTCTCCTGGTCCTCCACTTGCACAACTATAATAAGAAAGAGTATTCAGAATGCCACAGAATACATAATTGTGGTGTGCCCAGAGATGTTGAGAGCTGGAGGGGGGGGGGCTCTTTGGCTAGCAATGGCCCCTTGTGGATCCATCAAGAGAGAGAGATGATACTCCTCCATATGGTACTCTTACAAGGTTATTGCCAGATAAGGGCAAATATGCCAGCTTCTTCCTGTTTTGCCCAGTAGTTTACACCTGAAACAGGAGGAAATTTGGGTTCTGGTGCAATTGTGGTTATATGGAGAGGGAGAGGACATCTTGCTTGACTGATGGGTGTTACACTCCGGTCTGCAAGAACCCAACATCCAAAGCAGTGTTGAAAGAATACCTGGTTCAATTCTTACTGTAAGAGGTTTACAATCCACAGATACATAATTTCATGCTGGAATGTATGCCACCTTCCTTGGGTATTTACAGCTGGTAGGGCAGCTGACTGAAAAGCATCACTAGGAGATACAGGATGCTCTTGTGCCCAAGGGGGGAAGCACAGCCCAAGGAGGCCAAGACTGGCTGAGATGTCATTTGTGTATAGAGAGGATGGACTCTGAACTATGCAGCGAAAGAAAAAGATGTGTTTGGAAGCAGGAATAGGGGCTAGACCAGGGGTAGGCAACCTTGGCTCTTTTATGACTCGTGGACTTCAACTCTCAGAATTCTGAGCCAGCCATGCTGAGGGGAAAGGGAGAGGTTTCCAAGCTGAGCCATGCTGGCTCAGGAATTCTGGGAGTTGAAGTCCACGAGTCATAAAAGAGCCAAGGTTGCCTACCCCTGGGCTAGACTGAAGCAGGAACTTATCTGTTCTAGAAACAGACCCTACTATGAATTCAGGCATTCCTTGATTAAAAACCGGTTGCTTAGCAACCATTCAAAGTTACGACAGACCTCACCAGAGCTACTTACAACTTGGATTCGAAGTTCTGATGGCTGCCCCCTTTGTAATCACATGATCACACTTTGGGTATTCAGCAACTGGCCCAGATTTATATCTGTTTCAGTGTCCCGCAATCAGGTGACCACACTTTACATTTTTTTCCAGAAAGCTTTTATTTCTGATTTCTAGGCAAAAAAAAAAAAAAATGCCCCACTCAATAACCAACACAATTTACAGCCATAATTCCAGGCTCAATTATGGTGGTAAGTCTAGGACCACCTGTAGAATCACAACAGACATAGAAGAGTGGCGCTGTAAGGGTCCAAAAAGGGTCATCTAGTCTAACCCTCTGCAGTGTACAAGAAAACCACTTAGAATAACAGAACCATAGTTGATGTTTTAATATTACAGTATGAAAAACTCTGACAGTGACAACAGGACAGTTGAGGTCATGCAGACAGACCTCACTGATGAGTAATCACTCACAGTTAGTCTCTAAAAATCTGACAGACTTTCCAGGTTTCATTTCTTTCACAACTTCCTGAACCACTAAAATTGTACCAAGCTTGTCAGCGAACACTTCTTTGATGGACTCTGCCAGTGATATCATGTTAAACAAGAATACATGTCTAATGCTCAAGGAGGACTAGATTTTCTGTCTTGAGTAACAAAGAGAGGGGTTCTTGATAAAGTACCCAGTTATTTCCCAGCATCAAATATTTTTGGTCGGGGGTGTGAGTGATGGAAGCTGTAGTCCAATACACTTGTTGCGTACCGGTTCGGGGAAAGCTGACTACGACTTACTGTTCAGGCTCTCTTTCCGCCGTGTCCCTTCGACTTTGCCATCACCACCAATGCATAGGAAGAAATGATTGGAGGAATAGAGACGCCGCCAGCGCACGTCACCTTCCAGGTGGTGGTAGCTCCGTGCGTGCCGGTGAACATCCGGCCAGGGACACGTGGTATCTACTTGCTGAACTGAGTCTCTGGGTTCCCTGGCTGACGTGGCCCACAGGAGGGTCATCAAGGAGAATCCAAAAGTCCAGCTGGTTAGTGGGTTCCACAAACCCATGGCCCTCTAGGCCGTATGCCAGGAGAATCTGTTCAGCTTCCAGAGGGGCAAAGACAACCATGTGGCTTCAGGGTGTCAGCTGGCAAGGAGCTTAGAATAAATCCAGAGGTCTTAGGGCCATCACCACCAGGAGCCTCTTCCATCTGGGGCCATGGTGGAAAGTCTTTAACAAAATAGGCAGGAGACTGGTTGGAGTGGCTTGTCAGTCGTCTGGTCGAAGTTCTCAGCAGGTGCAAACAGGAAGAGCATCAAACATTCAGGGAGTTGTACAGTTGTCTCCGATGCTCAAGTTGTGATTTTAGCCCGGCTTTTCAGCGGAGATCAGTTTAGGGGCTCCAGGGAAGGACTAAGAGGATCCTGACAGCTGAACCAGCTGTGGCGGAGAGAGGCGTGAAGGTGCTACCTCATGCTAGCCGGTTTTAATACTGACATAAGAAGAAAAAATGCACATCTATGTTTGTTTCCTCCTGCTCCCCAGAAGGGGTGTGTGACTGAATCTGCCTCCAGCCAATAGCTTAAACCCAAAGGCGGAGCCAAGCATGAGTATCTTCCATTCATAGGACTCTTTCGGAATCATAGCTTATAGGCAAGAAAGAATGTGAATGGAACAGATGCAATTACTGTAGAACCGTGTGTATCTCAACCTTGCCAATGTTAACACAGATGGATTTCAACTCCCAGAATTCCCCAGCCAGGGTGTGTTGAGAAGCACTGCTGTAGGATTTCAGCTAACTGCAGTGCATCCAAGTCTGCTCCTCTGCTTTCTGATGGAAGGATTCTCTAAAAACAGTCTAAGTCAGGGGTAGGCAACCTTGGCTCTTTTATGACTTGTGTACTTCAACTCCCAGAATTCCTCAGCCAGCTGTGCTGGCTCAGGAATTCTGGGAGATGAAGTCCACGAGTCATAAAAGAGCCAAGGTTGCCTACCCCTGCTCTAAGCTAAGGCATTCTTACAAGAGGATTAGTTTAAAAAAAAAAAACATGCCACGAGCAGAATATGGACAATCTGAATATCAGAAGAGCCTCCTGAAACAGACCACAATGGATCTCTTTGGACCAACATTTTCTTTTCAAACAGTTAGTGACCCCCCCCAAAAAAGGTCAGTCACACATGGGTGATGACTGTCATGACCTACAACCATGATGGGCAGGCTCCATTATGGTCGTAAGTTGAGAGCTACCTGTAAGTACGAATGATGGCTTAATGTGTTGTGTCAGCATAAGCAATTGTGGATTATTCAATATACTCAGATTAACCAAAGCCTGACTTAATGTGATGTGTGAATTAGGTTTCACATGCAAATGAGCTCAATCAAAATTTTCCTCAATCAATCTCTCAGTCTGCCATTCCTCACAAGATTGTTGTAGAGATATTTATGCTGCTTTAAGTGCCCGGGGGAAAGAAGAATATCAAGGCATCCATTAATACACAGCTTAATTATTTTGCTATCTACATGGGGGGGGGAACGGGGTGGGCGGGGGGGGGGGTTTGAGGGTAGCTTGACAAATTCTGCATTTAGAAACAGATGTTGGTGTTCTTTTATTTAAGGCTGAGACTAAGACAAAATAAGAGAAAATAGCAAGATTTTTGTAGTTTGCAAGTGGGAGCCAAGATGGAGACATTTATGACAACTTTGCAATATGACCCTGGATCGCAGCTCTCAGTTTCACACCTCGAAGCATTGCAGTGACCCAAATCCCCAATTTCTCTCTCCTGAGCCACTTTAAAAGGGGAGGGGAAAAAAAGCAGAGGAACCCCGATCTTTGTGGAATGTGACCAATCCAGTCTGCCACATTTTTTTAAAGTCACACTGACCCCATTTGCTCCTAGAAGAGTGAGAGCACCACCCGGGAAAAATATCTCCCGTGCTGTGCTTGCAATCATTTCTGGGAGGAGAAGAAACAAGCTACAGGGCTTTGACGCAACCTGGATTGGCTTTGAAGCTGGAATTAGCCTCCAGCATCAGCCTGGCAGAGGAATTTTTAAAGAGAAGCATAAATGGAATTTACACTGTCCCAAGAAACAATATCCACAAGTTGAAAATGGCAATTTTGTACTTTTGCTATGGATGGATCATCCATGTATAGTATGTAAGTCAATGTTTCTCCACCCTGGCAACTTTAAGATGTGGAGACTTCGATTCCCAGAATTCCCTGGCTAACACGACTGGCTGAGGAATTCTGGGAGTTGGAGTCCGCACCTCTTAAATGTAAACTTATGTCTTAATACAGCCAATCTTTAAAATCTTCTAAGGTGGGAACAAGAATTGGATATGAATGACCAGCTTCTGAAGATGGTAAAGAAAGCTGTTAGCAAACATGTTTTCAGCCCATCAATCAAACTGGTTCTGCAAATAAATTAAATCTGACCCACTTTCAAAATTTCGAAAGGGAAAAATATATTTGTTTTTTCTTCTTTGATATTTCAGTGCTCACAAACAACCTATCACAAAAGAGAAACTTGGCATGAATTTTAGGAGAAGCAGAAACTCTTTTAACTTCCTGCTACTTTAATCCAAACTCACGTCTCTTGGATTTACTGATATATATATAAACACTTTGAACAGTCTATAGTACTTGTCACTCTGGGGATCTGTGAACCCCCCCCCCCGCTATAGAAACACACACAACCTTTTACCCTCAAGGTTTAGAATCAAAGCAAAATGTCTTGATGTAGTTTTGGGAATCAACTCCTAGATTGCAGAACGATGGGGCTTAGTTCAGAATTATCCACATTCCAGCAGGCCTACAACATTACTTTAAAATTACAAACAATTTGGCAACAATTCTGAGTGGTGATTTCATATTCTATTTTGGGCTTCCTTGTTGCATTTCATCTGCCTAGAACTGTGTCACCACAGCCTCACTCCTGCTTAACTCGTTGGCATCCCACAAATGTTGCAAGACCGAGGCTGTTTTTCACCAGAGCTATTTTTCTGGACTTTTTTTATTTTCCATCTGGTTCTACTTCACCAACCCCCCCCCCCCAGCTTCAAAACAAAACTTATTCTAAGCTAAGGAGGCAAATAGGAGTTCCTGCCATGGTACCTAAAGACCGGATTAGTGTTTCTCAAGCTCTACATTTTTTAAAGATGTGTGGACTTAAACTCCCAGAATTCTTAGGATACTGACTAGGGGATTCTGAGAATTTTCAAGCTGGCTGGGGAATTCTGGGACTTGAAGTTCATACACCTTAAAGCTGTAGAGGTTGAGAAACAAAATGAACAAAATGAAATGCAATGGTGAAAAAAGCAAGGTTCTACATTTAGGCAAGAAAAACCAAATGCACAAGTACAGCATAGGTGGCACCTTGCTCAATAGTAGTAACTGTGAGAGGGACCTCGGAGTCCTAGTAGACAATCACCTAAATATGAACCAGCAGTGTGCTGCAGCTGCCAAAAAGGCCAACACAGTGCTAGGCTGCATTAACAGAGGGATAGAATCAAGATCACGTGAAGTATTAATACCATTCTACAATGCCTTGGTAAGGCCACACTTGGAATACTGCATCCAGTTTTGGTCACCACGATGTAAAAAAGATGTTGAGACTCTAGAAAGAGTACAGAGAAGAGCAACAAAGATGATTAGGGGACTGGAGGCTAAAACATATAAGGAACGGTTGCTAGAATTGGGTATGTCTAGTTTAACGAAGAGAAGGACAAGGGGGGACATGATAGCAGTATTCCAATATCTCAGGGGCTGCCATAAAGAAGAGGGAATTAAGCTATTTTCCAAAGCACCTGAAGGCAGGACAAGAAGCAACGGGTGGAAACTCATAGAACTAAGGAGAAACTTCCTGACAGTGAGAACAATTAATCAGTGGAACAGCTTGCCTCCAGAAGCAGTAAATGCTCCAACACTGGAAGTTTTTAAGAAGAGACTGGACAGCCACTTGTCTGAAATGGTGTAGAGTTTCCTGCCCGAGCAGGGGGTTGGACTAGATGACCTCCAAGGTCCCTTCCAACTTTACTAATATGAACATATGAACCTCCAAGGTCCCTTCCAACTTTACTACTATTATTATTATTATAAACACAGCTATAGACATTAAATATCAGGGGCATTTTCTTTGGGGTCCCCCAACCTCATTCCTTGGTTATTGAACCAACCTACGAATAGGCCTCAACTTACAAGCACAACTGAGCCCAAAATTTCCATCGCTAAGCAAGGCAGTTATTAAGTGAATTTTGCCCCATTTTACAACCACATTTGTTAAGTTAGTAACATGGCTGTTAACTAAATTTGGTGTCCCCTGTTGACTTTACTTGTCAAAAGGTTGCAAAAGGGGTTCACATGACTCCGGGACATTAGTTGGCAAGCACTCGAATTTTGATGACATGACCATGGTTATAAATGGGAAGACCAATCACGTGACACTTTTTTCATGCCATTGTAACTTTGAACAATCACTAAACAAATAGTTGTAAGTCGAGGATTACCTGTATACAAATAGGCTCAGTTAGTATAATATGCTAAGTCCCCCTGCCCCCCCAAAATCTCCCACCCCTAATCAAGCTTGGTATTTTGATGGAACATGACTGCAACTACCAGGTCTTTTAGCACCTTGTTTAAATCAGACTCACATTTTAGATCTTTCAAAAAGACTATTTTCATTTTTTAAAAATGAGGAGGAGGAAGAGGAGGAGGAAACTGGCATGTAAAGGCAAAGATTTTTATTTCCAGTTATGCTTTGGGATTATTACAGATTATGTGGAATCCAGACATATTTATCGAAGGGCTGCATAACTACTGTCTAGGGCTTTTGTTAGGAGATCTGCCAGTCTGCACGTGTGTGTGTGTGTGTGTGTGTGTGTGTGTGTGTGTGTGTGTGTGTGTGTGAGCACGCACCCCACTAAAGGGTCCAACACAGGATTCCTCATGTTAAAAAAGTATAGGGTCTCCTGCTTGAGGAGGGGGCTGGAATAGACCTTCAAGGCCCCTTCCAGCTCTATTCTGATTCAGATTCGGTCATCATAGCAGGCCTTTTATTAAACACCAAGCCCCTTTCAGCGGTCAGCTTGCCAGATGCCTCTGCATTTCATGAAAACCCACCAACCCCTGAGGAGCAGGTCCTTGGCTTCAATGAGTCCAAAGGAAAGAGGTTCTGATGATTGGTCAGCCAATTTCCACAGTTTCACAATGTAACTTGTTCAGGTGTCTCTGCCACGAGGATTGTGCATGCCTGCTTTTAAAATTTTCAATTCGTTTCCTGAATCATTCCTAACAGTTCCTGGGAGGGAGAGGAACCAACTTAAGAGACAAACAGGGCTTTGCATATTTTTGCCAGCTCATCCTCAGCTGGCTCAGCAAAAGTTTGAGTTTTACAAACAGGAAGGACTCACTCCATCTGTCCTTCAATTACTCCTTTCAAAACTGTTTGGTGGCCCTAAGAATCAGCAGGACATATTTCTCTTTCCTCGGAATGTTTCTCACACCTCACTGAAGCTCCTTTGAGGAGTGGATGGGGGGTGTATCAAAAAAGGGAAGATGTCCCATCCTCCACCGATCCCCTGGACCAGGGGTAGGCAACCTTGGCTCTTTTATGACTCGTGGATTTCAACTCCCAGAATTCCTGAGCCAGATATCTCAAGTGCATCTCTTGATGCAGAGATTTGCAAAAATATTTACTCGCTATGGGTAGTCCTCGACTTACAACAGTTCATTTAGTGAACTG